ATATACCTTTTCTCGGTTATCGTAATTATTACTTATTACTTATACGCGTGTATATTTATATTTATATTCATATTTATATTTATATCTATATTTATATTTGTGTATACATATATATATACACAAGTGTAGGTGTCTGTACGTGTGTTCATCATAAGTGTACAATGTGGAAGTGTGAGCATGTAAATTGCGCGACGAGTGATCGAGCTCGGTCGATGAGCAAGCGACGCTTTCGAAAAATTGTTTATTTAATTCCCCTTATTGTTTTGCGTTCGATTTGAAACAGTTCGATTCGGGGAGAAAAAATTCCCTCTCGTAAAAAATGAAACAGCATCGCAAAAGAAGGAAAAGAAGACTGGACTGCATCGCACAACGAGCTCGTCCCAATCGCGTGTTACCTTTTTTTCCCTTCTTTCTTCGCGTATATCTATCAACCCTTGTTCTACCCTCACCCACCCCGGTTTGCAACCCCTCCCTGCCCCTCTCCTGTACGACTTTTTTGCGATCTATGGTGATCATCGAAAAATTGTTCAGTACAATAGTATATTAGCTTTTAAAACATCAATAACTATATATACATACAAATGCATAAAACAATGTCTCAATATATTTGTTCATCTTCCATAATCCTCGTATTTTTTATTTTGTCTGTTTGTTGTCTTAATCAATTAATTATATATATCTGTATAGTTGTAATATATTTCTTACTTTTTTTGTTTAATTATTCAATATGTATATTTATATTTCTATATATACTTATTTATATATTTATGTGCAATAAATATATAAATATATATATACATGTACTAGATGTAGATATAGACGTAATATTTCAATATTAATGTATTTTATATTTATAAATATAAACGCGTGGACTGCACTCGCATATATTTTGTTTGCTCTTGTCCCTTTTTTCATCCTATATAGTTTCGCGACACCCCCTATCTTTTCTTCTCTATTTTGTTCTTTTTTCGCGTTAGCTCACTTGTATATTGATCGCAGTTTCCTCTTATTTTGTTTGTTTTCTTTTAATTAATAATTGATCGTAGATCTCTTTCGAATATATATTTATATATTTATATATAACTCTCTTTCAGAGGATTTTCCTGGCTGAAAGTCGCCCGGGTTTCCGTCAAATTTTATAGTGAAACGTATATCCTACATAGTGAAATGTCAAATGATATCCAAAGAATAAATGACTGTAAAATATTGCGTATCACATTATTATTATTCACTCAATAACAAACTTGCAAAATTTACCGAACGAAACTAGTTTTGACTTTTAATAATTAAAAGAGGAATAAAATAAATATGGCCAGAAACCCAGAATCCTTTCAGCAACCTCTTTCACCCTAACTGCGAAAAGTTATAACTTATATACTTTTAAAACTTTGTCTTTACCGTTCCTATTTTTTGCGTATGTTTCCTATTTTGCTGTTTTGCTGCGATCTCGCGCGTCAGCGTCCCTTAATCCTACGTACGACGAATTTCATTATTACATTACGTTCTTTGAGCTGGTGTTACATACTCGCCTCGCCTGTGTTTCCCAGCTATATCTCCTCATTCGCATTAAGTTCAACTCTCCATTTATTTGAATAATTAACGCGGCTTCGAAGCGCTTGTCACGGCTATTTAACGCTTGTTTAACCCGTTCGTTTCTCGCCGAATGTACTAACGTAACGGAAATGTAAAGTAACAGAAATTGTTCGCGAAGCTATCAATACGTTTAGCTACTCTAAAAAATTTGTATTATAAAATTCACACAATTGTGAAATTAAAATCTGAATTTCTACATTAAAATAAAATTTCTTGCGTTTGTGTGGCATCGGCTTATGCGGAACGATCAACCAATAGTAATGTAATCCTTCGGACGATCTAATCTTGCTCCTTTCTGTTACCCGAATTGTTCTCCTATGTATCAACCTTTGGTCCGATACGTACACAACTTCTTTTTTACACTCGTTTATCGTTAATCCTGGGGCGTAACGAAGCAGCTACCATTTTGTTTCGCTTGCAAGAAATCGGTATTGCAGCGTCAGAAACACACGCGACCGCAGTTTCTTTCACCATTTTCTCCCTCATCCGGGGTTGGTGATACTTCACGGTTTGTTTCTCTCTTTTCTTTTCTTCTATTTTTCATTTATCTTTCAGAACGAACGAGATCACTCGTTGTGCGCATACGCGTCACCAACTTAAAAATACGTAGTTTATTTGCGCTATAGTTTACTCGTTATATATTATCGTTATTTTCTTTTGTTCTTCGATCATTATTTGCCATTTTAATCCTTTATGGTCACGACGATGTATTGCTAACGTTCGTAAGAATTGACTCGTTTATTTATTCGGTTTCATTCGTTCATTTCTTCTTCGGTGCTATATTTTTTTTTTGAACTTTTTGTTTTTTCTTTTCAATTTTGCGTGCACGCACACCCGCCCACAGGAAAACAAAATGGCCGCCGTTCGACGTGACACGCGTCCCAATTTAAGGTCATCTTTAGTTTTTGTTTGTTTGTTTGTTTACCCTGTTGTTGAATACAATAATAACCGTACTAGAATTGTCGCACGTGTATCCGTCGTTTCGTAATTATAATTAATCGCTCGTTGACTCTCACTTGGCGAATCCGATAACAGTGATTATAATCAGTATCGTACGGAACAGGCTTGATCAGCGACATTAACAAAATTTACGAATCAATACGCGAAATTGGTTACGCGCGTCGACGGTTTTCTCTTCGTCCAGAATCAGGGAGGTCCCAAACTTCGGTGATGCCCTTCGAGCCTCTAAATCGAACCTGCCCTTCGAGGGCTACAAAGTCTAATAAAATATTTAACACATCCAAGCGAAAGAGCAACGAATCACACCTCCCTGTTTCCCGTACGCTAATTAAACATCGCGGTTCGCTAAAACCTAAACCAATCACAAATAATCAATCTCGCCGTTAGCTCGTCCAATTAACGGATACTCGAAGCGCGAAAGAACGCAAGAATTTGGTGTCCAGTCGTTCCGCGATTAAGGCTACGTTTACACGATATAATGTTTTTCTCACGTCTACGTCTTTCCTCGCTAGCCCCATTTAAACTTAACATTGTATTTGTTTTGTCGCGAATGGCGTTTTTCAAGATGACCGTGTTTAGTAAATTCTAAATGTGTTTTAAATAACTCTCTCGCACACACGTGTCTCTCTCCCTCCCGTTCTCGCACACAGACTCGCACAATCTCGCTTCGTGTCGGAGTATCGTTCCATTTTGCAAAACATGCTCCTCTCGTTTCCGCTTTTACTCACGCACTGGCGCATTAAATTGGCGATACGCGATCTCGCCGTTAACTAACGCTCTGTACATATGCGGACGCACGGTATAATAATTGCATACACGTGTGTATATGTATGTATATATATATATATATACTTTTTCTTATTCCATTAATGCATCTTGTTTCGCGTAACTCCATGGTGTACCTATGGTTCCTCTCAGTCGCGGTTACGTGTACGTGTGTGAATGTGTGTGTGTGTGTTTGTCCTTGTTTGTGTTATGTGTTTAAAAAGCCGCCGACGCGTGTGAAAGCGTGTGATCGTTTAGTGTCTAAAACGCGTGAGAATGTACTATGTACACGTTGCACGTGTACGTGCGTGTGTTTCGTGATTGTATAACGGTGGTGAATGTGTTCGTGTACGAAATGCGTGTCGATGAACGTTGTTCATGTGTCCCTCCTCTATAGGATCATGTATATATGCCGTTATGGTAAATCAATGGTACAATAATTCGTGTACGGGTAATATGTATGTATGTATGTACCGAGGTTAATGCAAGTAATCGATTGGACAGCTATACAATAGCCGATTAAATTCAACGGTCATCGTTTCGGCATCGAACGAGGCCAGACTTTCGACGATAAAACGCTCGAGACACTTGCTCGATCCCCGTCTCGCGACCCTGTGAATCTAATTAAAAATCTCTCCTTCCTCGCCTCTCATCGATACGTATCGTCTCGAAAGCGGATCGCAAACAGACCTTCACAGCTTCGAATCCGTTTGATCTGGTCTCGCGTGTTTCTATTCGTTCCTCATGCGACGAGTAATGCAAACAGCTTCACTCCATCCGTTCGACACGCGTCTGTCTGCGTCTACGGCGTTCGCTCTTCTTTATTCGTCTCCTCTTGTCTCTCCCTCGTTGCACACCCAGGAAAAGGGGAAAAGTACTTCGACGATGCCGGGGCGAGAGAGAAGTGCCATTCCGGCATTCAGTCGGCAAAGAGCACGCTGACAAGTGGCGGACACGCGCGCGCAAGAAAGAAAGGAAGAAAAGAAAAAAAGGGCAAAGCCACTCTGGCATGCCTAGTGCCCTCATCGTCTTCTTCTAATCCCACCCGACCGCCCTAGCGCGACAGGTTTTCAACTTCCTATTTAGCCGACTAGCGACTCGCCATTCCCGATCTTTCTCAAAAGAAAAAATCCCTAACGCTTGTTCTCCGCTCCTACGCATGCCTACAAACTGAAAAAAGAAAGAACGCTGCGAACGCGGTGATATTCTCTTCCCGGGTGCGAACGTGTACGCGTCTAATAATAATATTTTTTATTGTTTATATTCATATTTATATTTGTATTTATATTTGCATTTATATTTATATTTATATTTATATATATTTATATATGTATATTGCGTGAATGCACGCGCGAGCTCACATCGCGCACTCACCGCTTTCCATCCGCATCTTTTTTGCTTTTATTAATCATTAGAATCCTCATAATATTTTATATATATTTATATATATATATATAAATCATTTATATATATATAAATTATAATGATAACCAGTAATCATAATAATATTCGTGTGTAAGTTGGTATTCTTCCTCTGCGTTCGTCTGTCTTAAATACTAAAGATCATACGTTATCGTCTAATATTTTATCAATTATTTATATATATATATATATATATTTATATATATATATATTTATATTTTATATATAATATTTTTATATTCTAGACTTAGTCGCTTAATTATTTAGCAATTAATAATATTAATTTAATTCATTATTATTAGATTATTCTTTATTAATGTCGGAGAATGGGCATCAATACGCAGTTTCGGCCGTATCTAGCTATACGCAGCTTCTGCCCTTCGCATTTCTCTTACATTCTCTCATTTTCCTCCATTCCGTTTAACCCGCAAAATTTCTGGACGCGTATCGGATGTACAATTTTTAATTTCTTCATTTTTTTTACCCATCTTCTATTTGTGCTTCCCTATTCTTTTTTATTCGGATTTCCCTGTTAGAATGCTTTCATCTTTGATTTTCCCTTTAAACGGTTCAAAGATCGTGTTAATTTTTCTTGATTATATCGTTGATTATATGACCGGTTCGCATGCGTAAGCTCGTAGCCTCTACTGATGAAACCCGTTATTCTTCTACCTAAACACGATCCATTCGCTTATTATTGATGATGGTAAGATACGCGATGGTCATCCTCTTCTGTCCAGAGATTGTTCATCGTGCAAAATTTGTCCAAGGCATATGCATCCTTCATTGTACCGTCAGTCGACCGTGCTGCGTTCTGCCCTCTCGTCCATCCTAATGGAAAAAAATCGTGCTCTGTTAACGATGTGTTACAACACGATATCCCAGAGAAGCCATGATCGTGAAAATAGCGCAAGCAGATCGTGTTACTGTTGGAGTGCTTGGACGTGAACGGCAAGCAAAAGAATAAGATCCTTTCGTGATACGTTCAATTTTCTTTAAATCGTTAATCTTCTTTGAAAAAACAGAAAGATAAATTCGTTCGTATCACGAAAGTTTCTCGACGTTCCAATATTTCATTCGTATTTATTGATCGTTAAAGTTAACTGATAGTTATACCACATGGCACGTTAGCAAATTGAAACTAACAAATGTGAACTGATGGAAAATATGTTTGAATGTGTTTGCGTTGCTACGAAGTGAAATGAAAGATTTTTCGTTACCGTATTCGCAAGATAATGCGCTAAAATTTGAAAGGAGAAAAACAACAGGAAACATTATATCAATTTTTCGCTGCTGTTGAATGAAGTCACATGAGAGAAGCGATGAAAGTGCTCGTTAAAGTTACGCGTTATTCGATTATACTTTGCAACAGTTCGAGTTTACTATAGTAAAGATCGGTTGATTTGCATCGAATATAAGCATTCTTTAAAATCAGGTAACACGAGATATTTGATATAATGATAGTAAATTTGAAATAGGAAGTAAGAGGACGTGACTACGTACCTGTTATTAGGTCTTAACAAGGCTCAATGGTAGCCATTAGTGAATGCCGCTGGTATTAGAGGACCCTAAAACACGAGGTCAGAGATTTTATCCAAGATCCTTGTGCCAAGATCTCGTTTAAATAATAAAAGGTAAACTATTGAATATTCTACGTTGATTTTCCAATAACGATTAAACTACGTGCAATTGCGATACTTGATCCTGGATATTAGCATCGTTGGATATTAAAATTCCGTAAGTATCAGAAAGGAAGATATAGAAAGAGAAAAAGAACAAGAAAAACGAAATGCAAAGTTAATAAATGTATATCTGCAAACTGAGAAGCTCAGCGTTCAGAGCTGTTTTGCGATCGAAGCTGGTAGCAACATAAGTTAGAAACTGTAAGAAAATAAAACTTGCATCATACTCTCGAATCTCTCGACTCCTTTTCCTTTTTGTTTTCAATCTCATTTCAGTATTTTCTCCGGGTTACATTTAATGGTTGGAAAAAGTATCACACACAAGTTTAATTCGATGCTGTTAGTACGGTTAGCTGTTGGAAAAGTACTTCGTTCGATCTGGCTCCCTCGACGAACGAAAAGTTTAATTAAAATCTTTAATTCTGTTCCATTGTGGAAGCAAATGAAAGTGTTCAACGGATATCAAGTAACAGAATCGACTACTGCAAAATGGTAATTTTTATTTCCCTTTCAGGATCTCGTGTCTTATTTGCTGTTCGTCGTATTTTCAAACAGTAGAAGTTTCCTTTAGTTTCAGGATATTAATTATAATTATCGGAAAATGTTTCTGGTGAATTCGTAATCTACTATAATTAGAGAGTGCTCGGAAATATTTTTACCAAATTTTCATTATTTTATTTTTACTGGAACAACATAATTACAAAGAAAGGGGTTAAAATAATTAGATGGTACAAATAATTATGAATTATTTGAAAGAAGTAACAATTCCGTTCTGAACACTCTCTTGAATTACAAATTCAAATGGATTATTTTTACACTTTTTACTAGGGGAATTAAATTTCAAGTGGTACAAGTCAACCATTGCTCAGCCTGTTCGATACGTAGCATTCAAAAATATGACATGTAATTTCAGAATTTATTCTTTAAATACTTTACCTAATACTTATATCGGATGCTTATTAATTGAATTTTTGATGCCAGCGTTAATTCATTTATTAATTAATTTTTGCTGCCAACACTTTTTGATCTAGTTAATCATTCGTTTATTTTCTACTGAGTACAGACGTTTATAGAAGAATAAACTTCTTCTTTATAGAAGAATAATACTTCTTCTCTAGAATTTTGGGGAAAAAGTGGGTTAACACTGCCACTTTTATGCTTGGTGTCATTAATATTCCGCACATGCAGTGTTTATAAGTTTAAAAATTTCTAAGTGTCTCGAATTTTATAATATTAACGTTTAAAAGTTTCGAACAGAAAATACTATTACTTTCTTGTTGAGTGTATCCAAGATTGTTTAGAGATTAACTTTCTTCTTTCAAATGGAAATATCCGTATATTTATCTTCACAGATTCTTATTTTATGGGAAGAAAGAAGAAATTTTGTTCTATAGTCCATGAAAAATTATCTCAAGACAAAGTTATACTATTTCATAAAGAACATGCAAAGGTGTAAATCATATTCTCTAAAGGTACTTTTATGAAATCTCAAAATTATTAATATTATTTAAAACAAAACGATGTAGTTTTCTTTATGTGAGTTAGGCATATTGTATTTATAGATACACATGACAGACGAAATATGTTTTCATTTTATTTTCCCAAAATCACAACGAATCTGAAACTTGTAAATATGGGATAGTCTTTTTAATTAAAAGATATATAAAGTAACAACGAATAATGGCGCTGCAATGTAAAAGGCAGAGAGTTGTAATCTTAAAAATTGTGCTTAGAATTACAAACTATTTGTACTTGATTTTCATGATTATGATAATACATGTTACGTCAAGAGATTGAAATGTGATTTTTATGTCGCAGCGCCGCCATTACAGTGGTCAAATGCAGAAACTTTCGCTCTAATGTAGGACTACCGCCATCATGGAAGCTTCCAGGATTATGTACACAACCTTGTTGAAAACATAATCGTCTATAAACGTCTGTACGTCTATACAAATCTATGCAATTTTCGTTATTCTTTTCTAATTTTGTTATTTTCGTATTCCTTATTAGAATAATGAATTTATAAAACAAATAAATTATAATCTCCTTAATCTTTCGTAACTTCTTTCTGTAATAAACTTGATACAGAAGTGCACATATAAGTGTTTTAAATGCTCGTCATTATCCCCACCAAATCTTGAAAATAGAATCTGGGAATAAGTGTTGAACCTCACGTTTAACATATCGTAACCCCCTCACTCTTTTCAATCATCTCTCTGCTTAAGTGTCCATCGTACTGCGAACGCTTAATTGTGCACTTCAATACGATTCATTTTCGCACAGCACGTAGTTCCATATAGAAATCGACATCAAAGACCAAACCCTTTATGCCCGAATTTACTGTTCAAGTAAATAGCCAATGGGGGACTCGTACCACTCGTATTTATTGTCTGGAAGAGCGTATCGCTCGACGGCCTGCTGGGCCAATGTTGCGAAACGGACCAGGTTATTCTGCACATGCGTAACCGTAATAGCCAATTGCAGCTTCGTGCCACGCGACCAAGGGAGCGCGAAATTCAAACTGAACCAACTGTGTTTCAAAATTCTGGTTAATATTAATAAATAATATTAGTAAATTACCTTTTTATTTAATAAATAATAGGTAATAATAATATTATTTAATAAGTAACAAGGTAATAATAATAATGTACATTTCAATCCTTTACGGCCGACAGAATCGTACCTGAATAAATAACGAACGTAAAAGAAACCAAAAGAGCTCAGAAATAAAAGTAGTAAGAATGTTTTTCGTTCAAGAAACGAAAATAGTGAGAATGACGCAAAGTTCAAAAAGGGACATTAATTAATATAAATTATATTTGGCGAGTGTTGCTAATAACGATATATCGTTTCGCGCATAGAGATTAAAATCAGAAAAACTCTTCAAGCTCTTCAACTTCAACTCTTCTATATCTTTCTACCTTAACAGTTTATTTTTGCGGTACATGCGTGAATAAAGTCGGGCCGTTTCACAACACTGTTGGACATACCAGGGCGTGAAGGGGGATCGTAGAATGGACTTACGGGACTGTAGTTGAGCGGGGCACGGGACACGGCGATCGCAGGGAACGCGGTCGTAGGGGGCTGCGGGCTAGCTGCGGCCTGGACGTAGCTGGCGACTGCGGAATCAGCGGCTGCGGCT